AGGGTGCTCCATCTGCCAGCTGCACACAGCCCTAGCGGGGTCAGAGATTGGACTGGGCAGCCCTGAAACCATGGCCGACCTCCAGTACATTGGAGCAGGGACGGCGTTCTCCAACCACCGACTCGACGAGGACATCCCTGCCCCCCCGGCCCCAGGGACCCCGCTGTTCCCCCCGTTCGTGCGCGACGGGCGCTTCTGCAGGCAGCAGAAGGACGCCACCTACAACTGCGACGGATGCACCAGTGCCGGGCTAAGTGGTACAGCAGGCGCTTGGGAAGACGATTGCACGAGGGAGCTTCTAGCCCAGAACCGAGCGCAGGCGTACGCGGAGGGCAAGAACTGCAGATGGCTCTGCCAGCAATGCTGGGTCAGCTCGCTGGAGAAGAGAGGGATACTCCTCCCTGAACCCGACGCGACAGAGCGCAACTGCAGGAGGTCCATGCCGTGCTTACTACAGGAGCATAAGCGCAGATTGGACGAGAACCGCGCTCAGAAAAGGGCCAGGACACTCCCCTCCTTGGCCCGACTGCCGCTGGGGGCCAGAGTGACACCAGTTGCTGCTGCCCCAACCCTCAAGGAGCTCGTCCTACGTACGACTCGCCAGTACCGCCCAGCCAGCGCGGGCACCACACTCCCGCCACGCAGGCTCACCGACGGCAGGTTCGGTACGGAAGTGCACCTGACCAAATGCTACTCAGCCACACGTGATTTCTGTCCCCCCTTTTCCCCCTTGCTTGAGTGGCCGCCAGGCGCACCCGCCTTGGGCTGTTTCATATGGCGCGCAGAGCCGGACGCGGACTGCAATGCGCTGACAGGTCTCCCTCCGCGGGGCGCGATGCCATCACTGTGGACCAAGAGGCAGTGGAATGCCAGCTGGGCCTGCAGGAGGTGCCTGGTACACATCTGGGACATTGCCCCTAGCGCCCTCGACCGGGTACTGGACCTATGCTCCAGCGAGATATACCCAGATCCCCCCACCAAGAGGCCAGCCACAAGCGAGACCTCAGAGGAATGGGGCATCTACGACATGTCAGCGCAACTTTCCCCAAACAGCCCAGTGCCAGCCGCAAGCTCCAACCCACCCACGGCAACGGCCGAAGGCAGCACAGAGCTCGCCCCGCCCCCGCAAGATGGCACAGACGGTGGAGCTGCTCACAGCCTTTCACTACCGGCTCTCCCACCACCCATTGCACCCCCACTTCCCACATGCTCCACCCGCCGTCTCGGCGGGGAGCAGTCGAGGGGCCCCGTCCGCGAGTTGGTCAAGTTCCTGATTGAGTGGGGTCACTCAGTCTACTCCCTCTGGGTGGCCCACACCCAGCGGTGGGGGAGGGAAGTCGTGGAAGAGGTGACAGACGAGTCGGGGTAGTCCCACGAGCACCAGGTGCAATTCCTGCAGTCCATCTACGGGGACGAGACACCTAGGAATGGGCAACCCCCGCACATCCAGTGGGACGGGCGGAGGGCAGCTGCGGCAAACGTGGTCGCGCACCTAGTGGAGCGCAGCTCGAAGTACCAGGAGGCATGGCGATACTATGTTGACAAACTCGACAGCCAGAAAGGTCAGTGCCCACAGCGGCAGCCACTGGATACGCTAACCACCTTTCTTTCACAAACAAAGGACGACCTCGCAGAAGGAACAATCAAACTCCTAGCCAGCTGGCGGAAGGACGCAAAGTCCTGCTGTGCTGAAGAGGATCCCCCACAGCTGTTTGGCTCCGACCCCGGGCGACCTCACCCGACCCCCCCCCCGTCCAAGCTATCCCCCAGACGCCTGCCGCAACAGGACAGCCCAGCGGTGAGGGAGGGGAGGTTCCGTCCCCGCACAAGCAGGGAAGTGCCGGCGGCGACGAGGAGCTTGACTGGGACCCTTCAGAGTCAGAGTGGCAGGCGCATGGAGTCCACCCAGACGGGAATGACTCCGAGGCCCAAGCCAGTTCAGCACGCCAAGTTGTCAAGGCCGACACCCCAGAGCGCAGCGACAGTGAGGCCTCCCACAGTCCGCCGATCCTGTGGACTAGACCCCCGCAGCGGGCCGAGTCCACAGCCTGGTCGCCGTACGCCAGGGAATACGCGCATCCTATCAGGCTGCAATGTGCGACGACAGGAGGCTGAACGACAGGAGGCTGAGGCTAGTTGAAAGCAAGTCAGAGCTCCGGTCAACCCCAATTCCCGAGGACGCCTCACTCAGCCACGCAGAACGCCCGCCACTGAGCCCCCCGGCCTCTTGGCAGCATCGCAGCGCTGGCCGAGGAAGCGAACCGCAGAACGCATCCATCCCACCAGCACGCCCTGATGACCTCATGTGCGGTCTCTCCATGTACCTGAGCTCCATCAGCGAAGCAGACACCAGCAAGGAAGAGCCAGCACAAGACAAGATCAGCCGACTGCAGAGGACGCTGGGAGGCGCCTTCAACGGGATCTGGCCCGCCTGGGTCCGCAAGTCAGTCAGCAAGCACGGGGGCCCATGGGTCAACATCAAGTCTGACCCCAAGAAGAACTCGGTGCAGCTACGCGAAGACTTCCTCCAGGCATGGGGCAAAGCAGGCTTCGACGCCTACAAAATGGACGACGAACACCAGCTCCGCGTAGACTGGCCAACCATTACGGACAGGCATCGCAAGCAGCTACAGCGTAACACCAGGACGCACACCCACGAAGGTCCCAGGGGTGGCGGACGCCCGTACCCATGGGCAGACGGCAGCAAGACGGCGCCAGGTCCCCCCCCAATGCCCACCGACGACAGGGAACCTGCGCAAGCGGCTGCCTCAAGCGAGCCCACCGGCGAGGATCGACGGCACCCTTGGAGCAAACCTAAAGAGGCCACTTGTTCCCCCCCGGTGTACACCGACTACAGGGTCGCCGAACAGACAGCCCCACCCAGTGCCGCAGCTCGATGGGAGACATGGCAGGCATGGGAAGGGTGGGACCACCGCCAGGACACGTGGTCCGAATCCGACTGGAGGACCAGGGAGAAACGTTCGGCCCCCAGAGGAGACGCTCAGTACGCGGACAAACGGCAGCGCGGGCGGGACTTCGCCCGCAAGTGGGCCTGACGGGTCTACCCTCTCGGAGCGCTGCCCCCCTGCTTCTCCCCAGGCCCAGGAGGGCAGCTCCTTCGTGAGAGACTGCCGGAGAGGGCTCCGTCGCTTTCCCCCGCAGCTCATCTGCGGCTCAAGACCTCCCCCCCCGATCATGTCAATACTACGTGTCGCCACTCAACCCGTATCAGAACGCCGCGCATGCTTTCTAGACGACAACGACTTCGGGCAGCTGGGGGCTGCCTCCACCTCCTTATACGAAGTTGTCTCCATCGCGCTGACCCTGTGGGCCAGTTGGGCCCCCGACGTGCCTTGTGGGGCCCAGTGGGTCGGCAGTCCGATGGTCCTCAATCGCCCCTTTGCCGCCCGCAGGGGCACGGGTCAGGAGGATAAAGACGCTGCGGGCGGCTGTCCCCGCAGGCCCCTCCGTGGGTAGCCCCTACACAGCAGGGGCTGGTTTCACCGCAGTGGCAGGCCCAGGCCTTAATACATTAGTGTCACCTCTAGGGAACGAGGTGCACCACTCTCACTGCGTCTAGACTCCCACGGTACAGCGTGGACCCTAGCCCGTGTGGTAGCGGCTGCCATATTCCCGTCGCACGGTTCACTTTGGCCCATTCTCTGACATGGACCCGTCGTGCTCGCTGCGTACCCACGTTGGACGGCTGGGGCTGCAGGCCGAAGGCACCCCCCCATTCGCTCCACTAGCAGCGCTTCTGTCGGCAACGACCTGGTGGCGTTCCCCCCCCACCTGACTGGCTCCCTCCTGACCGCCTTCCGACGACGCTGGGCTGCGTCCTTGGGTGACGGTGGCCGCTGGCTCTCGTCCATCCCCACGTATTCTCCTGACCTGCGGCTATCGGCTGCGCCCCCTCCCCCCTGCCTCACCTCGACATCCACAGCAGGGCGTTCGACGTGGTTGTTTCACCTCAGTGACAAGTCGTGGCTCTCCCTGCATTCCCCCCCTGGATGTGGGGCACCACTATGGCATGGTTGCGACTTGCTTTCCACGGTGCACCGTGGACTTAGCCCGTGTGGCGTCGGCTGAAATAATCCACGCACGCGGTGGGATTTGGCCTGGTTCTCTCGAGCATGGGCCCGCCTCGCCCGCCCGGGCAGTCGAGCGGATGGGAACGCCGGCCTAAGGCCCGCCCCACCGTTCCACTTTCCCCCCCTTTTGTTCTCGTCAACGCTGCTCTGTGGCACCCCCCATTGGCAGGCGCCTACGACGGCTTCATCGCGTGCATCGCTCTCGGACATGGTCCATGCCCGCCTGGGCTCACCTCAACCTGGTGCTATCGGCGGGGAGGTCCACGCCCCCCTCGACGCACGTCGTCTGACGCCCGTGTTCACCGGTGCTTCAACCTACTGGTTGCGTGCAGCTGTCCATGAGCCTTAGTTGCTCCGTGAGTGAGGGTTCCTGGTTCAAGCATCGCTTTCACCGTGTGCCGGGTCGTCGGCTTGCGGTCTTTTCCCCCCGCAGGTTCCCTCCGGCGTCGGCTTTTGGCCCGCTGGTTCTACCTGCTCGTCGTCCGGCTTTGCCGGGCCTCTTAGGTTTCCCCCCCTTGCATGTGCATCCCGGCGTTGGCTTTTGGCCCGCTGGTAATTATCTCGCTTGGCCTCTCGTTTGCCCCCGTGGCGCTTTGGGTCCCCCCCCCCCCCTCCTCTTGCTTCCCAGCGTTGGCTTTTGGCCCGCTGGCAATTATCTCGCTTGGCCGTCCAAGCTTGCTGCGCCTTCTCTGGTGTAGGTGCACTCCGGCGTTGGCTTTGGCCCGCTGGCAATGATCTTGCGTGTTGCCCCATGCTCGATGCGACCCGCTCTCTGGAATCGTCCTTGGAGCCGCAAATCCAAAAAAGTATCCCCACTAGCGTCCGTAGCCTTGGTTCAAGCTACTGGGGCCCATCTGCCCGTGGCGCGGCGCCACTCGACCCTCGCGGGCACCGCCGCGCCGCTGGCAGTGGATGGCAGCGCCGCGGTACACTTGAGGGGCCACTCCATGACAGCTGCCGCCCCGGTGCCTGGCGCAGCGCACGCCGGGCCGCAGCAGCCCCACCACGAGCCGGCGCGAGCGCTGGCCGAGGCCGCAGGGCCCGAGGAGGACCCGGAGGTGCGCTTCGCGGCGGCGCTGCAGCAGCTGTCCAGGGCCCACGACGCCGACCTCGCCGCCGCGCGGGCGGAGAACTGCCAGCTGCGCGGCGAGCTCTCCCGCCTCCGGGGCCGCGTCGGCATGCTGATGCTGGCGCTGCAGCGCAGCAGCCCCCGGGACGGCGCCGCCGAGGCCCCGCCCCCCGCCCCGGGCGCGCCCAGGCCCACCGCGGCCGCGCGCCCCGCCGCGGCGGCCTACGTCTCCCTGCAGCTGGCCTCGCCCCCGCGGGCGGAGCCGCCGCCCGCCGCCCCGGGCGCGCCCGCGGCGAGGGCGCCCGGCTCGCCCTTGCGGAGGCGCCCGCCCGGCGCGCAGGTGCCCGAGGTGCCGCGGCCGGAGCCCGCGGGCGGCCCGCAGAGCTCCCGCGGCGCCGCCGCGGGCGCCGCCGCGCCGCCCGCGGCCGGCGGCTGCGCCGGCGGCGGCGCCCTCGCTGCCGGAGAGGCCGAGGAGGCGGTGCCCGCCTCGGCGCGCTCGGCGCGCACCCCGCGCAGCGACTCCGTCCGCGGCGAGGGCGAGGAGAAGGGCGGCAGGGCCACAGCCGCCACCGTGTGCGAGGAGGGCGCCGACGGGGCCACGAGGGGGGCAGCCGGCCGACGGCCCCGGACCAGCGCTGGGCCACGCTGGTGCGCCGGCCCCTGGACATGGCCGCGAAGGAGCTGCTGTTCCTCCACCCCGACTGGGTGCAGCCGCCGGAGTTCCTCCGCAAGGTGGAGCGCGCATGGAACCACGTGCCGGGGGCTACCGACATCCTGAGCAATCCAGAGTTCAATCCGCGGGCGGCGCGCGGGGGCAGTTTCACGGGCCACGGCCGCGCGGGGATCGGGATCTTGCGGCGTAGCCTGGCGGCCGAGCGCAGCATTGCGCCAAGCTCGTTGGCCTGGTTGCCCGGGCAGTCGAGGCGCAATGGCTTTTCGAGCGTGACTGACGATGGCGCCAACATCGTAGCAAGGTTCTTGAGCAGGCTGGTAATGGACCCGCAGTCGCCGAAGCGGATCAGCACTGGGATCATGGGCTTGAGCCTCATGATATACGACATCATCATGATGCCAGTCGAATTCGCCTACAACCTGGAGCAGGGCAGCTTCCTGGTGGCCATGAGCTGGTTATCCCAGATCTTCTGGTCGTTCGACATTTGCGTGTCGTTCATCACGGGCTACTATCAGAACAGCGAGCTGGAGATGCGGCTTGGGCACGTCATTGCCATGTACGTGAAGACCTGGTTCGCCATCGACGTCGTCGTCACTGCGCCGTTGTGGGTGCTGCTATGCATCGATGAGAACAGCTGCGCGAACTGCGGGGCGGCGAGGGCCTCGAAGGGCATGAAGACGATAAGGTTTTTGCGGGTGCTGCGGCTGCTGCGCCTGGTGAAGTTCACGCACTTGCTGAGCGAGTCCCTGAACCTGATCAACTCTCTGGTTGTGTTGTGCTCGCTGGGCATCGTGAAGTACATGGTTGGCCTCGTGATGATCAACCACATAATATCGTGCATGTGGTACGCGATCGGCAAGCACGCCGCCGCCGCTGAGGGCGAGGTCGGATGGGTGCATAGCTTGGAGTTGGACCACCCTGTCACTTCCTGGAGCGAGAGCAAGAAGATCGCGTACTTGTACTTCACGTCTCTGCACTGGGCCATCACTCAGTTCCAGGGCACCAGCGGGGGTATTTGAGCAACCATCACATTTCTGCAGCGTTGTCGGTTCGGGTGAAGAAGTATGTCGAGTGGAACCAGCGAATGCAGACATACCGCGAGCACGATGCCAGGGTGGTTCAGTTATTGCCTCATGAGATAATGGCAGATTTTTTGGAAGAAGTGCGAGTGCCATTTGTGTGTTTGCACCCGTTCTTTGCGATTTTCCGCCTGGGCTACCCAAGGATAGTGAGCGAATATGCGCAGAGGTGCCGGAGAAGACGCCGGCACCAGACGAAGAGATCTTCTCCTCTCACGACCACCGGCCCCGCATGTACATTGTGGAGAGCGGTTTTCTGGAGTATTCTGTCAGCAGCGGCGGCGCGAAGGTGAAGGGCCTCTTCTCCCCGCGCGCGTCCGACGTGCTCCGCAAGATTCCCAGCTCCTCGGGTGGGCAATTACCCTGCGAGGACGGCGAGACGCTCAGCACGGGAGGCTGGCTCGCCGAGCAGGCGCTCTGGACGAATTGGTCGCGCGTGGGCAGGCTCGTCGGCAAGAGCGACTCCTGCCTGCTGGTCGTGGAGTGCAGGACCTTCACGGGGATAGTGAAGTCCAACTCTGCTGCGCATTGTTCCGCGGTCTACTACGCCAGGCGGTTCGCCGGAGAGCTGAACCGCTTTGGCAAGACGTGCACCGATCACCTCCCAGCGAGTTTCTTCGACGGGCTGATGTCCGCCTCGGCCGAGGAGGAAGAGGCGCGAGCAGGAACAAGCTTGCGTGCCATTCGCGCCTGATTTGCTGCGCTCCCTGCCCCACCCTTGCCTGACGCCCCTTGGGGGCCCCTCCGCGCGGAGGGTTGGCGGCGTCTATCCTCGCCGCCCCCCCCCGCGGCCCCCCCCCTAGCTGGGCTGCCGCCATGCTCGTATCCTGGTCGCGGAAGCGCGCGTTCCCACCCCCCAGGGCTGCCCAGGGCCCCCGCTGATAGCGGTTACTTTACCTCACCTACAGCGGCGGTTAGCTGCGACCCTGGACCCCTACGGGGAATGTCGGACTCGACGGAGAAGGCAGTCCCACGGTGGCCTTCGGCGTGCATCAGGCGGGCAGCTGCCGTGCAGTTCCACCCTGGATTCCCCACCTTGCTGGCGATGTTCCTTCCCACCAGCTTGGCCTCGCGCAGCGCTTCAGCCGGCGCCCGCGCAGCTGTGCTTGGATGGCCCCCTGCTGTTTCGGCGGCTCCTCATGTTGCGCGGGATGACGGCCCCTGGAGGACAGCCCGCTTCGACTGGTTCAGCCTTCGCAGCCGCGGCCGCCCCCCCGGGCCCGTCCCACCCCCAGCCTGGTCTTCGACGTTCCCCGGCGGAGCAGCTCAGTCGGCTCGCACACGCCGTTGGCGCGACCTGGGCTTGGCGCCCCACTGGCGACTGCCCATCGCTTACCACGTCTGGGCACTCAGACGGCATGTTGGGCACGCAACCCACAGCTATTGTCCTCACGCTCCTTTGGGGTTTTGCCACTCGGCACATTTTGACTTCACCAGCATTTTGCCGTGTTGCATGTGTTCGAGCACCCTGGACGCCCTCAGCTTGCCGCTCCCCCCGCGCAGTCAGCCGCTGCTGGATGAGTGGGCCGGCCGGCTCGCGGCGCGTTCAGCTGCTAATTAGGCCGCTGTCGTGACCCGTAGCGCTTCTGACTCCGCTAGCGCCCTCGCTAGCGGACGCGACCGAAAAAAACAAATCCCCACTAGCACATCCAGAAACGATCGGAGAGTTTCTTGAGGCCTCTTGAAGGCTGTCTTAAGCCATGCTCGGCTAGAGGCTGTCGGAGGCTATATTGAGCCATGTGCGGCTATCTTGTGCAGCCATGAGGCTGCCATGGGGCCTCTTGCAGGTCTGTCGGAGGCTATCTTGAGCCATGCTGGGCTGGGAGGAGAAGAAAGAGGAGAAGGAATATGAGGAGGAGGAGGAGGAGGACGAGGCAGAGAGAAGGAGGAGGGGGAAGAATAGGAGGAGAAGGAGGAGGAGGAGGAGGAGGAGGAGGAGGAGGAGGAGGAGGAGGAGGAATGCGGCACGAGGGGTAGGAGGTGGTGGAGGTGGAGGAGGAGGAAGAAGAACAGTACAATCCCAAGGCTAAGCGACGATGTTGGGATACACTGTCCTTCCAAGCTCCCTCTTCATAGGCCCCATACATGGCTCACTTCTAATGAGGGAAGTGCCCTGTCGGGAGACAACTGTGTAAAACGCCTGAAGCGTGCTAAAACACCACATCCAGAACTTCAACGCAACGAATCATCCTGACTGTTGCGTCTTGACGACCCTGAATCGTGCCACCACAACGTTGCTGGGACTTCAACGCCGCGGATCAACGTTACTTGTTCCGCCCTTACAACCCACAGGCCTTTGAAGAGAACCAGTTTTTGAAGGTTCACTAACCATGGGAATCCGCGAGACGCTGGCAATCTTTGAAAACGATTGTGCGCGGCGCTGAGGCGCGAACCACATTTTGAAAAGAACCCGCCCTCAATCCGTGAAAATGTTTGCAAATGTTTGAATCGAGTGTGCGCGGCATTAGGCGAGAGCCACAGGTGGAAAACCAGCCGCCCTCCATCCGTGAAGCTCTTGCACCTGTTCAAGACGAGTGTGCGCGGCGGTGAGGCGAGAACTACATTTTGACAGCCAGCCGCCCTCAATCCGTGAAGCTTTTGCACATGTTTAAGACTAGTGTGCGCGGCGCTGAAGCGAGAGCCACATTCGAAAACGACCCGCCCTCAATCCGTGAAGCCCTTGCACATGTTAAGAACGAATGTGCGCGGCGCTACAGCGAGAGCCACCTTTTGGAAGCGGCCCGCCGTCCATCTGCGAAGACCATGCAAATTTCCAAGGTTCAAGCTCAACAGTGGTAAGGCAGTATCATGCGAAACGCCGGGCCCTTCCTTCCGACCGGCCTCGGGGTGCGATAGGATGGTTTTTTTTATAAGGAAAACGAGTGGTTGAGGAGGGGGAGGAGGAGTAGGAGGAGGAGTTGGAGTAGGAGGAGGAGTTGGAGGAGGAGGAGGAGGAGTAGCTGAGGGAGGAGGAAGGAAAGGGGTGGGACGGAACGGACTATAACAAGGAGGATGAGGCATCAGGCTTTGGAGATCTGTTGCTGTGAAAGGTTCGCGAAGGGCGATTTAGGCAACCTTAGGGGCTCTCTTGGGGTCCCCATGGGGCCTTTGGGGGCACTCGTTGGCCCCGTTTGGGGCTCATTGTAGGGGTCTGGGAGGCCTCTTGGGCCCATGACTTAAAGGGGGGGGCCCAATTCAGGTCCCCCCTCGCAGGCTCAAACAATTGCGTCTTGGGACCCACTTGGAATCTCTTGGAGCGCTCTGGGCGCTTTAGGGGCCGTCGTGGGCCCCCCTTGGGCCTTTCTTGGGCCTCTCTAAGGGGCATCCCGAGGCTGCAAAAGCTCATTTGGAATCGAAACAGCGCGAAGGCAACACACACATTGGTTTTTCCAAGGTTGTTGAAGGAGATTGGCTTCTTAGACGGTGCGTGGGGAGGCTCGACGGGCACTTGTACTCGTCTCGGAGCTGTCTTGAGGCCCCTTGGAGGTATGTAGGAGGCTCTGTTGAACCATGGTCGGCTATCTTGAGCCATCTTGGAGGCCGTCTTGGGCTGCCGGGGGCACTCTTTCATCCACCTGGGACCCATCTTGAAACTCTAACTGCCTGCCCCCCCCCTCCCAGGCCCAGGAGAGGTGGTAGCGGGAGGGGTAAACCCATCTGCCGAGCAGAGGAAGGAGGGGGAGAGAAGACAAAACTGGTTGAACCACATACGCCCAGAGGGCTGGTGGGATTCGGAGATCGAGGAGGAGGAGGAGGAGGAGGACGAGTAGGAGGAGGAGAAGCAGGATGGATGAGGAGGAACGAGGATCGAGGAGGTTTTGGATATTTTTTGGGCGTGCCCTCCGATGACTGCCATGATGGTTGTCCAATGGTCTCCCCAATGCGTGCCTGGTGGTTGTCTCCATGATTGCCCCCATGGATGTCATGATGGATGCCCCGATGGATGTCCCGATGGTTGCCCCGATGGATGTCCTGACAGCTGTCCCATTGTTTCCCCGTGGTTGTCCTGTGGTTTCCGCGTGATTGTTCCGCGGTTGTCCCGTGGTTGAATCGTGGTCGTCCCGTGGATGTCCCGATGGTTGTACCGCAGTTATCCCGTGGTTGTCTCGTTGTTTGTTTGTTGTTGTTCGGTTGTCCCGTGTGTGTCTTGTGGTTGTCTTGTGGTTGTACCTCGTAGTTGTCCCCCAGTTGTCCCGTGGATGTCCCGCGGATGCCCCGTGCATGCCTTCTGGTTCCACGATCGTCCCGTGGATGTCCCGTGGTTGTAACAATTTACGTTGTATGGTTTTCCCGAGGTGGTCTTGTCCTTCCCGTGCTTGTCCCGCGGATGTCCCGTGCTTGTCTTCTGGTTGCACGGTCGTCCCGTAGATGTCTCGTGGTTGTCCCAATTGACGTCTCATGGTTTTTCCCAGGTTGTCTCGTCATTCCCGTGCTTGTCCCGCGGGTGTCCCGTGGTTGTCTCGTTGTTTGTTGTTGGTTGTCGGTGGTCCCTTGTTGTCATGTTGTCGCCTTGTGATTGTCCCGTGGTTCTTCCCCGTAGTTGTCCCGTGGCTGCCCCATGAATGTCCCGTGCTTGCCTTGTGGTTCCACGGTTCTCCCGTGGATGTTCCGTGGCCGACCCAATGGATGTTCATGGATATTCTTGTGGTTGTGGTATGGTTGTCCCGTGGTCGTCCCGAGGTTGTTGTGTGGTTGTCCTGTGTTTCCCCCGTGGTTGTACCGCGGTTGTCCCGTGGTTGTGTTGTGGTCGTTCTTTGGTTGCCATGGTGGTTGTCCCGCGTTTGTTCTGTGGTAGTCTCGTTGTTGTTGTCGTTGCTCCTCGGTTGTCCCGTGTTCGTCCTGTGGTTGTCCCGTGGTGTCCCGTGCTTGTCTTGTGGTTTCACGGGCGTCCCGTGGATGTCCCGTGGTTGTCCCAATGGATGTTTATTGATTTTCACGTGTTTGTCCCGTGGTCGTTCCGTGATTGTTTTGTGATTGCTTTGTTGTTGTCCCGCCTCTACCCCGTGGATGTATTGTGGTTGTCCCGTGGTTGTTTTGTGGTTGTCCAGTGGTTGTGTTGTACTTGTTCAATGGTTGTCCCGTGGATGCCGCTGGGATGTCCCGTGATTGCCTCGTAGTCGCCGATCATGATTGAGACCGATCAGACCGTGATACCCAGAATTATTCCGATGCAATATGTGAATACATTGATGGGGGGATCGGTAGGTAGATAGTGGGGTTGGTAAACAGTCGATTCCGCCAAGCACTATTTGCATTCAGGGGTTCTTACTTGTCTTGCTTAAGCGGTTGGACGGCTCACCCGAGGATTTTCCACGTTGCGTCCACGTGCCGCTTGGTGGGCGCTCGTGGGCGCCTGGTGCGCTGGGTGGTTCCGCCTAGGTTGCGTCACGTTGCCGCCCCGTGCCGCCTGGTGGGCGCTCGTGGGTGCCCCGTACCTTGGGTGGATCCTCCAAGGTCGCGCCACGTTGCCGCCCGTGCCACCTCGTGGTCGGCCCATGCGCGGCGCATACACCACGTAGCCTGAACGCCGCACATTACACGACATAGTTCACACCACATAGATTTGCGCCGCATAGCTTGCACGATAGAGCTTTCATCGCTTAGCTGCCACCTTCAGCACACGGCATAGCTGACACCACATATTTCACATCCACAGTTCGCACCACATAGCTCAAACGACACAGCTTGCACCACTGAGCTTAAGCTTCCGCAGTGCAACAGTTCATTGTTTGCGGTCCAAACGTTGGATTTGTATGTGTACAGATCTACATTTCCATATATATATATATATACATACATACATATGTACATATACATATGCTACCCCCCCTTAGGGACCTACCGTTTTTGTTTGTTTCTGGTTGTCGCACCGTAAACCCGCC